TACAGCCCATCAGGAAAGCCCTATCTTTATACTCTATTTAGGATTTGACCACTTCTCACTCGCTGGATTGTTACCCCCTGAGCCAAGCCACCATCACACTCCCCTGAATTACTAAGATGCTGTCCTAACTGGGCTCCCTGCTTCCCCTGCACACCTTAATCGTCTGTCCTCAGTGTGGCATCCCCAGTGACCATTCCTCTAAGTCAGATCTTGTGTCACCCCTCCTTTAAAGCTCCCCAGTGGCTCCCATCTCACTCAGAGTAAAAACCAAAGTTCGTCCAAGGGCAAGCAAAACCCTAAGTGCCCCACACACCCTCTGTCCTCCTTCCCAACTCTTCTTCCCTCCGTTGGCCCTGGTCCAGCCACACTGGTCCCCTGCTGTTCTGGAAAAGTGCCAGCCTGCTTTATTCCCATTTGCTCACCTCCTTCTGAGTGACGCTTTCTCCACAGCCCTATTTAAAATTGCAAACTCCTCTTTACCTGGGACCTCTGGTCCGTTTCCCTGCTTTATTCTTCACCTGCTTATAGACTCTATAATGAATATATTTATCTTATTTGTTATCTGACTCCCTCATGAGGGCAGAGATTTTTGTCTTTCTCAGTCACTGCTGGTCACACGTGGCACCTAGCACCTAGTGGACCCTCCATAAATGTTTATTGTATGAATGAACTGAGGATGTCGGGAGTGTCTGTCCATCAGCACCAGCACCAGCAGATTTTTCCCTTGTAGGATGCAGGCTGTTCTTGCGGAGCTGTCAGTTGTTTTTTTTTTTTTTTTTTAAACAGAAATGCAGGTATTTCTGAGAAATCTTCAGTTTTCACAAAATGTTGGCAACTAATTCAAATTTTTTAATAAGACTATGTATTGGGGAGCCTGGGTGGCTCAGATGGTTAAAAAGAGTCTGTATTAAAAATTTTTTAAAAATCCATTCCTTGGCTGAATTTGACCCACAGGCCCACAGACCCTGGTTTGCACTCTGTAGGGTACGTTGGACTGGCTTTGCCATCTTCACTGAAGACATACAAGCTTTCCAAAAATAGTAGCCATAAAATTTATTCCTAAGCTTTTCTTCTTTGTCCCTTGGTTCTAGTCCAGAAAGCACGACTCTAGAATCAGAGCAGCAGAGGAGGGATTAGGTAAGGCTCTGGAGGAGGACAGTGTATAGAGGGCTTCCCACCCGCGAGTCCTTGGATCTGGGGCCTGTGTGGGTGCCCCCTGGTGGGGGCCAGCAGTGGTATTCAGGTGTCCTTAAATGGTTGTCACTGGTCTTCCAGACAGGCATCATCTCCTCCCACAGTGCTGGATCCCAGGCAGTCCACCAGGGCAAGACTTATAGGAAAATACAAACCAAAATGAATTGATAGGCTAAGCCCCTCTGAGGTGTGCTCCTTGGAGGCCAAAGCCCCAAAAGCGTGACCAAACAGGATGCCGGAGAAGGTAAGGGGTAAGAGGCATCCTCTTCTGTTGCTGGCCAAAGGCTAAATTGGTCCATTTCTAGAGAAGTAGTTTGGCAACACTTATCAGACGTACAAATGCATGTATTCTTTGACTAAGGAATTATATTTTAATGAATTTATCCTACAGATACACTCACGTGTGTTTGAAATGAATTGAGATGAGGTTTCTCAATGTGACACTGTTTGTCATAACAAAAGCTTGAAAATAACCTAAATGTCCTACAATGTGTAACTAGATAACTTATGCTAGAGCCATGCAATGAAATGCTGCACAGACATCAAAAATAAGAAATAAAATCTGTATGTGCTGATATGTAAAGTCCTCCTACAGGATTGTTTTATTAAAAAAAAAAAAAGCAGGCTGATAACATTGTGGACACTATGCTACCATTTGTAGCATGAAAGGGGATGGTAGGTGTATAGCTATTTATTCTTACACGTATAATATATCTGTGGCTCAACACAGAGCAGTCCAGTATCATCAGTTACCTCTAAGAATGGGATTTGGTGACAAAATCGCAAGGAAGAATAAATTGCCAATAAATTTACTTTAATATACTTTTATTTTTAACTACGTGAATGTTTACTACATTAAAAAGAAAAAAGAAATGTCATATTATATGCTTGGAAATCTCCCTAAAGGGGCACCTGGGTGACTCAGTTGGTTAAGCGTCTGCCTTCGGCTCAGGTCGTGATCTCAAGGCCCTGAGATTGAGCTCCACGTCAGGCTCCCTGCTCAGCGGGGAGTCTGCTTCTCCCTCTCCCTCTGCCCCTCCCCCTGCTCATGTGCTCTCTCTCTTTCTCTCTCTCTTGCTCTCTCTCTCAAATAAATAAATAAAATCTTAAAAAAAAGAAGTCCCCCTTAAAAGATACCCATTGTAGTATTGTTTATAATAATAAAAAAGGGAAGCAATCTTGTGTGTCAAATAATAGGATATTGGTTAAATAAAAATTTTACCGTATTTAAATTTTTTCTGATTTTATAAATTTCCAATACAACTTTTTTGCCTTTTCCTCTCTTGATTTAAACATATTGCGTGTACCTTCATGTTGGAATATCTCCATTCTTCAGATCTTTTTAGTTTTTTTTTCAGATCTTCGTCAGAAGAGTCTTTTGTTTTCTCCTTTTTTGTTTTGTTGAGGGGTGGTAACATTTTGTCGAAGAAAGTAATGATAGCTTTAATAACACTGATGACGTAGGGCCAAGAAAAAAATTAGAATAATCAAGTCAGCAAGCTTGATTCTTTTTGATAGATGTCTACATAACCCTTAATTGATTAAAACATTAATACTGTATGCTTTTCTTCAGGACTTATTAGATAATCAGCCATAAAGAGAAATTTGTACTGTTTCACATAGGTTGAGATAGCTTTCTCTTCCTCTCTAATTCTGCAATTCTAAATTCGCTTTTTATTGGAACACCATACATTCCCTTTTCCCTGAAAACACATTGTAGAAAGTGACTTAATCTTTCTATGACCTTATTAGCCAAAATCCAGCAATCATTAACATTATTTGACATGTAAACTTGGACAGAACCCTTTTCTTTGCTTTAGTTTTACTTCCCAGTAAAATAAATTGGCCAGGTATTAAGTACTTGGGATGGTGTTGGGCATGCAAGAAATCATAATTGTGTTTACATGTGATACATAATTTGTATCATAACATGCATTTACTCATACTTCTGTAGAGAGTTTGCCTTTCCTCCATAGTACTCTGTAACTGTGATTTTAAAAAAATTAGCAGATGGATGCTATTCTGTGGCAAACTTTTTACGTTTCTCTGGGAAAATAAGAAGAAAAAATAAGAATAAGGTAGAGGATTTTTTTTTAAGTCTGTGTGTTCAATTTGAAGAATTCATCCTAATTCTAAAATTACGATCTTCAAATTGTTAAAATGGATGTCAAGATAATCTTCTCTTATAAAATGGTAGGCGATCATTATTCTTAATTTCATTTTACTGGTTTCTAAAATCTATTCCTCTAGTAGTTGAGGAATGAAAGCTAGATCCTACAGCTGATCATGTAAGCTCTGAAATCATTCAAGTCTGAAATCTCCATGATACCTGTATCATACAGTGTGCATTTTCATCAATTTTAAATATTGGGGATTCCAATGGAATATTGTCTTAGCTTGCTGTAACAAAATACCAGAGACTGTGTGCCTTAAACCACAGAAATTTATTTTCTCACTGTTCTGGAGGCTGGAAGTCTGAGATCAGGGTGCCAACATGGTTGGGTTCTGGTGAAGTACGTCTTCCTGGCTTGAGACAGCTGCTTCTCATTTTTTTCTCACATGATAGAGACAGACAGCAAGTTCTCTGGCATCTTTTCTTATAAGGGCACACATCCCTTCATGAAGGCCCCACTCTCATGACGTAATTGAACCTTAATTACCTTCCACAGATCCCATCTACAAATACCATCACACTGGAGGTTAGGACTTCAACATGTGAATTTTTAAAAGACACAGACATACAGCCCATTACGAGTGTTGTTATGGTGTTAGGATGATGTTAGGCCAGGGATCCAGGAAAATTCAAATCCTTTCTTAATTAAGCGACCACTAAATTTCGGGACTAAAGGCAAAACAAGGCAAATAACACTATCACTACCTAAGACTGAAGTCTCAAACCCCAAGGCAAAACTCTGGTAAGCTAAGCAGTTAGGACAGAAGAACTCATGTGCTTTAGGTGGCTGGCTTAAATGAACTGTAACAGAGGTTAAAAATCACAGCCCACGAACCAAGAATGGCTTTTACATTTCAAAGGAATCTAAAAATTTTGTAGCATCTGAAAATTATGAGAAATACAGATTTTAGTGTTCCTAAACAAAGTTTTATTGAAACACAGTTGTGCCGTTCTTTTACGCGTTGTTGTAACTTTTGTGCTACAATGGCAGACTTATATTGTTGCAACAGACCCTGAAAGATTTACTGTCTGGCCCTTTAGAGAAAAAGTTTGCCAATTCTGATATACAAACAAAGCTGACCAATGATTTGTTTCATCTATTCCCAAGACTAAATCTTAGCTGAAAACGTCATTTCAAAAATGCAGTCATACCCATCAACACTAAAAGAAATAGATCCAGAGACAGAGTACTTACCCCAAAGCCTGGCATGAGCTGGTCTAGAGATTGTCCACTCCAAGTTGTCTAATGCCACACACCCCTGTTCCAAGAGAAAACTAAGAGGGAAAGACAGATGGCTTCATTGGAGAATGAAAGAAGAAGAGAGGGCCTCAGTCCATGAGCTGATGTTGTCATTCGTTTGAAAAGTTCAGCCCTTACCAAATATAGTCTAGGGTCCTGGAATTGAACCATCCTGAATTAAGCTTTATCTTCCTTTGAGTCTCTACCTCTCGATTGATATTTATCCCTGAAGTCAAAGGAGACGGGAGGAATGGAAGCTAAGAGTGTGGTACCCTTTCTAGAATTCAGCATTGACCAATGAAATTGGTGGCGCTGTTGACATATCAGGCCTCTTCCTTTGTTTCTGATTTGTTTTTATTTTGTTTTCTCCCTCCTTCCCCCAAACACACAAAGGTGATTTTAAAGGATGTGGATTCACTTCTCTACGTGGACACCGACGTTCTCTTTCTGAGACCCGTTGATGACATCTGGAAGCTTCTGAGGCATTTTAATGCCACGCAGCTTGCCGCCATGGCCCCTGAGCATGAAATCCCCAAGATTGGCTGGTACAGCCGCTTTGCTCGGCACCCTTTCTATGGCTCTGCGGGAGTTAATTCAGGAGTCATGCTGATGAATTTAACTCGCATAAGAAGTGCCCAGTTTAAGGTAAGGAAATACTTTATATTACATGTTTAAAAATTGGGAGTTTTAGTCATTTCAACAGTGATGTTCCTAGATTGTCAGTGTATTGATTTTGGAAGTAGGTGGCTTGTCGGTGAGGATGGAAGGGGCCAGGGAAGAGGAAAATATTTGGAAAGTTATGAAATATTCAGGAAAAGTCCAGGTGGTTATGGAATTTAAAAAGCTTCAGCAGAGTTGCTATTCAGGAATGTTATGTTGCATTTCTGAATTCTATAATGTTTGAACTCTGTGTATACCCAAAGCTTCAAGAGCCATGGAAAATTCTGTGGAATTATCCTCGGGATATATTTATATATGTACACAGAGATAAGGCTGCTCATGGCCTCATCTTTTATCCTAGTAAAGAACTGGAAAGAACCTAAATGAACATCAGTAGAGAACTAGTCAAAAATTAAAAAAAAAAACAAAACAAAACAAAAAACTCATCCTCCTATTAAGAATTCGATTAATCTATAAGTGAGATAAATTGATCTCTAAAAAATATTAAGGGAAAAAGTGAAAATGAGACAAAGCATAGTACCATGAAGTATGATCTCTTTTATGGCTTAGAAATTTCCAGAAGAATACCTAATTGTTAACTGTGGATATATCTGGGGAAAGTGGGGGTGGAGATGGTAGGAGGATGGAGGAAGAATATTTTTACTTCTTAATTTTATCTTTGTGTGCTGTTTGAATATTTAGTCTATGAACGTGTTGCTTTTACTGGTTCCTGGTCCAGCCCGGATCCATGTGTTATTGATCTGGCAAAACTCTATAGTTTCCAGCTCTAGTTTTGCTTTGTCCTATGTCTTGAGGCCAGCAGGACCCCTCCCCTGTTTGCTTCATTCCTGGAGGGTTTGAGGGAACCAGTTCCTCTCTATTGTTTCCCAGGGGACAGGATGCATTTGCTTTGCCTCAGCCCCTCTGATGGTTTTCTCTTTTCCAGAACAGCATAATTCCAACAGGCTTGGCTTGGGAGGACATGTTGTACCCTCTGTACCAGAAGTACAAGAATGCCATCACGTGGGGAGACCAGGATTTATTAAATATTATTTTTTATTTCAATCCAGGTAGGCTCTCTTGCGAGAATGCTGTTTGTGTAGGAGTCCGCCCACCGCGCTGCACAGAGCACATTCCAGCCCGGTCTGCATTGACTGAGCCTGGGTTGTGCCGGGCTTCCCCTGTGAAATGCGCCCTTTCATTCGCACACACCACCACCCATCCCCCCAGGCCTCCCCCCCCTTCTCCCCGCCCCGGGGGCTGCCCTCACGCTGCTGACACAAAAGGCCAAATGTTGCAACCTCCAACACTGGACTCCATTTTTGGAGAATATCTTTTAGAGTTTGGCCACACCATTCTTCTAAGAAGTGTGGTCAAAATTATTGGCAGGGCACAGAACTGAATGCCGACATTATAAGCTAGACAGGGAGGCCCTCCGTGGCTAAACAATTGCTAGATTGAAGGGAATTGATTCTTGGGGTCCCTACAGTTAAGTGACTTGTTCGGAGTTAAATGAGCCTAGAATAAGGACTTAGACTTCCATTCCTTTTTCTTTTCGTGTGAGGCAAAAAAAAAAAAAAAAAAAAAAATTCCTTATACTGTATCAGTGATTTGGTGGAGTTGGGGGAGGGAGATGAAAATCTCTGATCTGTGTTTTTTGATGTTGACACCTAAAACTAATAAAATTTCCTCTTTTCTTTCTTATTTGCTAAAACCGTATTTAATGTTGTTAGAATCAAAACCATGTTTTCTCCTCGAGAAAGATCTTTGGGGGAGGAAAAAAGCTCTTGTTACCCGGACTTTTCAGTTCATTTCTTTGTCTTTACAAAATCCTAAAATAGAAACTCCTGTCCATAAAGACTTCTGCCTGTGATAACCTGTCACTCTGGAAGCACCTACTATGTACTTGAATTGTTTTTTTTAAACAGAACTCTGAAATAAAACCTAGTCTCACAGGTCTTTGGATCTAGAAGGAGCAAATCCTGGAAAAGAAAAAAAAGCAGATTGAAAGAGAGTTTCTGGGGAAAATTCCCACTACGAATTCATTAGAGGAAGGGAAAGTCTTGGCCGTTCGCTGGTGGCATGTTTTAATCCGTTTCCCTCTGACAGTAATAGGAACTTTAAGATCTGTACGTCCTCCTTTTTCTTCCTAAGCCGATTTCATCTTTTTTCTAGGTGTAGATGGATTGGTTAGGACTTTTGGCTGCGTGGAAAAGTTAGTCCCAGAGTTAGTCCAAGCACAAGGGATACTGTTATTAGCAAACTGCTATCTGCTAGAAACCGAGGCAGGAAGGCCAGCAGGCTCGACCCAGGACCTGAAGCGGGAGAGGGAGAATGAGGAGGCGGCCAGGGCGGGCTAGCTTTCTCCCACTGACATTGCTTATTCCTCTCTTTGTGGACCTTCTTCTCTGCTCCTCAGGCCTCAAAGCAAAGTACCCCACATTTCATACTCCAGGTGCAGCCACAGGCAAAGATGAACTCCAGCCTCACTCTGAATTCCCAGGGGGAGAAACCAGATGGTTCCAGTATGGGTCAGCTAGACCGGGAGCATGCAGCTACGAAATAATGGCTGACATTTATTATTTACTCAGTGCCAGGTGCTGGTCTAAGCATTATCTTCTTTAATCCTCACAACCACCCTGAGACTATGATCCCCATTTTACAGACAAAGATACCAAGGGAGAGTTCGGTAATTTGCAGCACTGCTAATGAGCAGGCTCCTCTGACTTCTGCCCTCTGCGTTTGGGGGAGAGGAGAAGTTCTAAGAGGGGCAATCCTAGAAAGCTGGGGAGACATCCCAAAATGTATCTCTGCACTGAACTATTCGTCCTTTACATATTGCATTTTGCTCTCTGTTATGTGGCTAAAACTATCTTTTAGAAGCCCATCTGGACATATTCCCAAACAAGAATTCTAAAGATTCGCAGTTTCCTCCTCAGAAATCCTCTTAGCCTGTTGCAGATTATTTGAGGACGTGATCAGTGAGTAAATAATACTTGAAGGCAGTTGTAAGCAGCTTTGCAATTAGACAGGAGCCCTTGTCTTTAATTGGAGCTGAAAACCAGCTGAGTTTGATGGCTTCTGTACTCCCCATCTTAAATCCATTGAGTACTCAAATATTATCAGATAGTTTGAGGTTGTTCTAAACCCTGGTTCTGAGCAGTACCAATAACCAAGTTTTCTAGCTTTCGATCGGCGAGTTCTTAGGTAACTCCTTGATTGCTGTTTCTGTGACCTGTGTTTGATCATCCTTTTTCGTACTTTCTGCAGGTACTTTATTAAACATGAGATCTTTGAACTGAAACCCATTGATATCCTTCATATGATAGGCTCTTTCTTTGTTTATATTGTGGTCACTTTCTATTAACCAGAAAATTATTTAGAAAAAAGATTGGTCATTTTTATCCCTAGAAAGGAGGGAGGGAGAGCGGGGAGAGGAGATTGGCCCTGACACGGGAGATAAACATGCTGTTGTTATGGCCCTTTGGGGCGCCATGGACGAAGAAGCAATGCACAAGGGGCGCCTGGGTGGCTCAGTCGGTTAAGCGTCTGCCTTCGGCTCAGGTCATGATCCCAGGGTCCTGGGATCGTGCCCCGCATCTCCCTCTGCCTGCTGCGCCCCTCCTGCTTGTTCTCCCCACCCCCCACCCCGACAAATAAATAAATAAAATCTCTTTTTTTAAAAAGGCAATGCACAAAAAACCCGAGCACATGTCTGGAGTGGTATTATTATTATTATAGCTTCCTATAGCCAATAACACCACTTTTGAAAATGTGTTTAAAAGTCATTCGTTTAAAAATATTTTAAAACTCTTGCCATAATTAGATAGTAAATTGCTATAGGTGTGTAATTGCAGTGCTGGGTCCTAGACAAGAGGAGAGAGCTGGAGCTCAGGAGGGACATGCAGGTCGCTCAGCCCATAGGACATTTCCTGGCAGGTGAGGCAAGGTAGCTCCTTCAAGGGGTGGAAGATGGAGCTCACAGCTCTACATGTGAGTTTGAGTCTAGGACAGAGTTCTATAGAAAGGGTAGATTTGACCGAAGCCAGAAGAGCACCCTACACAGAAAGATGTGCTTTAATATGTTTGGGTTGCAGGGAACAAAACTCAGGCCAGCTAAGGAAGGGACCAGGGGGCAGCGGCCCTGGGAACACATGGGTCACATCGGGCTAGGCCTCTTGGGAACTCGCTCTGTGAAACTACTAAGGACCCCAGCTGATTTCTCCATCCCTCAGAGGCCATGGGGCCTTGCCTCTCTCCACGCCTACCTGATTCCGTTCTATTTCTCAGCATTCTGTTTCATGTGGCCCAACCCTGAGCCCACACAGCCTTACAAAGCCCACAGCCAATGATGATGCATGTTTGGTAACAGCCCCCTTTGTTTCCTAATTCTCACTTTTGAAGAGACAGAGAGAGAGATTTGCCTGGCCCAACCTAGGAAATGACTCCCAAGCCCAGCTAAAAACTATTTCTCTTTGGATAGAGACACTGCCCATGATCTGGTCATCAGGAGCCAGACGAGCAAGGCCATGTGGCATTTTCCTCTCTCAGGCATGAACACCTAGGTCTCTCCCTTCTTCAGGAACAATCTCCCTAAAGGTGGGCTGTGGGCAGGGAAAGAAATGAAACCAGCCAAGTATAGATAAGGAGGCAGGGCATCCAGAAGGTAGCAACAGTAGGATTCTGCCCACAGGGAGAGGGAAGAGTTGAAATGCCCCTGGAATATACATAGATTGTCATGGATCATACAGGGAGTTGGAGGGGTTTGGTGGGGCCACAGGGAGCAGAACACATAGTCATGTGGTACAGCCTCTTCAGTGGCCCCGGGCGGGCCTTGTTTTCATCCTGCCAGGGTCACTAGGGCCCTGCATTTTGGATATACAGCCACACTGGCTCCTCACCCCACCAAAAGCTCCCAGCATCTGTCAGCGGTGAGCTGTGGGGTTGACAGGCTCAGCTACCTGGTGTTAGGATTGTTCCAGGAAAATGGTAACATCTTCTTGTTTGGGGAGTCTGGGACTTTCAGGAGCTCTGATACAAAGCCAAGAATGATGACTGTCAGATACTTGTGGGAAGTATCCTTGCTGCATTTACTTTTTGTCTTTCACGTGCAAGGCTTTGTGCCTGGAGCAGAGTTGATCTTCAGAAGAGTCAGTTGGTTGAATGAATGGATTTGAGAGACCGGAGTGACAGAGGGAAATGAATGGAAGAGAAAGTCCACAGCAAGGAAATCGAGGAGTGGAAGGAGAGGGAGAAATCCAGAGAAAGCAGGACACACCTGGTAGCAGAAGGTAGAAGGTTCCATTTACTCATTCATTCAGCAGATACTGCTTGAGCACCTACTATGTGCCAGTCATGGTGGCAAGGCACTGGGGATAATGCAGCAGACAGAATGGACAAGTGCCTATTTTCACGAAACCTACCTTTTATTGAAAGAGGTAGACTTCCAAAGAACAGCAAGTAGTTGTTACAAATCATGGGTTGTAATAAATGCTATAAAAGGAATAAATAGGGGCACCAGGGTGCTATTGCTATCGGTCGGTTAAGCATCTGCCTTCGGCTCAGGTCATGATCTCAGGGTCCTGGGATGGAGCCCTGAGTTGGGCTCCCTGCTCTTGGGGGGAGTCTGCTTCTCCCTCTCCCTCTACCCTCCCCGCCCCACTTGTGCTCACTCTCTCACGCGCACGCTCTCTGTGTCTCTCTTTCAAATAAATAAATAAAATCTTTTTAAAGAAAGGAATAAATGAGGCATTGAGAGAGAGGCTTTCAAGGCTGGAGGGAGAGGATTACTTCTTTAGGTTGTGCGATCAGAGCAGTCTTCCTGGAAGAATGTATTGCCCTTTTCTGAACAAGATGCATTCTGGAAGAAGGAAGAAGAGGATGCCGGGAAAGCTCAGTTCCAGAAGGACGCTTTAAAGAAACAAAACTAACAAACAAAAATTAATGATGCACCCAACAGCCTTCATTCCATTGGTAGTGTAGCGAATGAGTAGCAAGCCTGTTTCACCATGAAGTGAAAATGATCAGGCATGAGCTGTTCCAGAATCTTAGAGAACCCAAGAGTACAAAATAATCAGAAACGTAAGGAGCAATCAATTCACACGGCACTTTGCGAATAGTTAGGAGGCTCTGGAAATAAATGTAGACTCCTGAAGTGATCACTAAGGGATTTCAGAGCCATAGATAATCAGTTAATGGGCTTCTTTATCTATGTAAAAATGGAGAGGAAAATAGCAAAGACTAGGAGTTTGAAGAGGGGTTAGCTTGAAAAAAGATTTTAAAATAAATTGCAGTGGTTCGAGGCTTTGGGGATTTGGAATTTTAAAACCATTCATCATATTATTTCCTGAGCAGTGGAAAGTAACCTGTTTCCCCATGCTGTCATTTTTAACCATCAGATTTTGACAGCCCTGATAATCTTGCTTAAAATAGATCCATTTCAGAATGGTTATTGATCATGTGCCAAATAGACATCATTAGTCCACTCTGCATGTTCATCAGCTGACCTCCATAGATGTTCCCTCTTTAGTCCACCCCATGATGCTAGTTTGACCCCTCTCCTCCTCCCCCCACCCCCGCTGACCCCTCTCCTCCTCCCCCCACCCCCCACCCGTTAACCAAATGGAGATTTCAGAGTGTAACCCATGCAAAATGTATCTGTGAATAAAAAGACACAACTGTTACTTTTAACTGCCCACTCTTGATTTCCCTTTCTTTGGATTACAGGGCCCCAGTTTTCTTAGGGGAATTACTCTTCTCTCTCTCTCTCTCTCCCCCCCCACCCCCTACCTGCTTTTGCATGCAGTCCTAGAACTCCGTCTGCTCCTGACTTCCACTCACCCTGTCAGACCACATCCTCGGAACCTGAGTCTGGGGATCCAAGAGCAGAAAGTAGCCAAGGTTTCGGTGTTGGCGATGTTGGCAGCCATGCTGAAGAGCTGACATTAATTAGTGCCCACCTGTCAGAGTCCAGGAGCTGCCCCACAACCTGACCCGGTTCAGCTTTACCTCTGATTTTATGAGCTACTCCCTCTCTTTTCAAGGAAAAATTCTTTCCCTTTTTTTTTTCTTCAAGCTGGAATCAAAGTTAGTTCCTTGCAATCCAACATAGATATATATTTCTTGAATATTTTAGGTCCGAGCAGTCTATTTATATGACAGCTTTGCTACCGTTATCTTAGCCCTTTGAAGAGACTGAATTTATCCCAGCAAAATTAAATAGCTTATCTTTCGTAAAGCACACTCTGATTTCCAAACTCTTCACCATGATCAGGCCATTTTCTCCTCCTTGAATCTTCTTCCAGGGCTCCATTTTTGACTATCAAAATCCCATCCTTAGTTTGTAAGTCTGAGTTTAAATGAAACTGTACTGAAATATCCTCCTTTCTATGAACCCTGATAAAAACATGTTCATTTTGACTTTACTACATACTGTCTCCCTTACAAGAGTATAAATTCCCCAAGGGCAGGAGCAGAGCCTTATCATCCAGCGACACCAATGTCTTGCAGTGTGTGAATGAATTCTTCTTTCAGTTACAAGCTTTTTGCGTTTCTTCCTCTGAAAAATTCTGAAGGGAATTGTAAAGATGTGAATTGAATTCTGTCTGGAATCCAGTTTCCTAGTTGAGATTCAACAGCTGGGTTTTAGCTGATCTTTAGGAAATCGACAAACCCCTAAACTTATGAGCAAGTGTTCTTAAATATGCCCAGTTGTACCTTTCCAATGATAAGGTCGAAGGCTTTCATTAGACTCTGAGATCTGTGATCCATAAAAGGTTAAGAATGACTGGCCACCTGCATATCTAGAAACAACTGGAGTAAAACCTTTATTACCAAGGTACCGTGTGTTGAGAACTATGCTAGGCTCATTCCCTTTATTTTGTTTTATTCTTCCAGTAACCTAATGCAATAGTTCTTATAACAATAACAATGGTCATAGTCATGATTACAGCTTACAGTTATTGCACGCTTTCTATGTGTCGTACCGTTCCAAATACTTGTATTGATAAGTTCACTTAGTACTCCCCAGAATCCTACTGGACAAAATATTTACAGTCCTCCCCCATTTACAGATGATGAAACTCAGGCTCAGAAAAATTACGTAATTTGGCTGAGTTCATGCAAGTAGGGTCAGTCCTGTCATTCAGAGCCAGTGTGGGTTGACTCCAGGGCTTGCTCCCTTAGCCATTTCACTGTTAGCATAACAAAGCTGGAGTTCAACCCCAGATAACTTAGCTTCTTTTTACTGCTTCTAAATTGAGGTCCAGATAACTCATCAAGGTTGTAGAGCTAGGAGACAGTGGAAGCCAACTTTGAACATACATTTATCTGATTTCAAAGCCTTTCTATTTCATCTTCTGCCCTTGGAATGCCCTCACTGGGTGTGGTCCTCTCAGGAGGCTGCAAAGAAAAGGAAGGTTTCCTTAGCAGTGGGGTCCTATACTACCTGCGAAGAGGCAAAAACCTCCATCACCAATCTCAAGTGCCACAAAGGCAGGAACCAGACTTTCCTTTGTCCGTTGGGTACAAAGCAGGCACTCAATAAATATTTGTTGATTCAATCAGCGTATTTACAAAAACAGATGGATTCTAGGGCAGTTCACTCAGCAGGGAACATTAGCAGGTGATTAAGCAGGGATTCAATTGCAAATACCGAAGCAGGTATCATAAATGAGCGATGTTATTCATGGGGTTCTGAAAGGCCACAATTGGTCTGAGGTCAGACACAGTTTAAAAGCACACAAGCATAATGATGTAATGTATGGTGGTTAACATAACAATAAAAAATTATTAAAAAAAAAAAAAGCACACAAGCACTTTTAATACTTTCTGTCACAGAATCCTCACGCCCACCCCCTGCGCTAGAATGCAGAAAAGTCACACAATTCCAAGAGGAGTTTAAATCTAGATAATATGACTTCAGGGTGAGCCCTACCCTCTCCCAGCTATGGATTATATATGTACAAGTGTGGAAATGAATGCAAGTAAGAGCAGCATCGCGGTGGAAAGGGGTTCTCCCGAGAAAAGGAAAATCTCGCAGGGTGTTGTGAATGATTAAGAATTGGAGGGTGCCTGGGTGTCACCGTGGCCCGTAAAGACTGAGTGGTAGAATTATTACACACAGTCCACCAGAGGGGATGTGTGATGATCTCTTCCTTGTTTGCTTTCCATCTCGAAGCTCTCTGGAAGCAGTCTCTAAGAAGGGATAGCCGTCAGCCCAACCCACGAGCACATCTCTATGTTGCTTTTCTGACAACGGTAATTGATTTGCTCTAACGCTTCTGTGGTCTCACAGGGGGCCTTTCTCATGAACAGTGACACACACTCACAGAGAGCTTTGATTCCTACTGCTCTTGCCCCAGCCCTTAAAGGCATCAAGCTGAGGAGCCAGGAAGCTCAGGGGTTGTGAATTTGTTGCTAATTTTATAATCCTAGCCGTCCAACAGGATTAGAGCCGAGTTTCTCAACCTTGGCACTGCTACTCTTGTGGAGGTTGTCCTATTCAGTGTGGAATGTTTAGAGTATCTCTGGTCTCCACCCACTAAGAGACTAGTGGCCTCCTCCATGTATGAGAACCAGTATCTCCCTCCAAACATCGCCAAATGGCCCCCCGGGGAGGCCCTGGCAAAGAACCACCAGATTAGAGATACACATACAAGTACACAAGTGTGCACATGCTCACCCACAATGTGTATAGTCGCCTTGACACAGGGACTTTTTTATTTCTTTGCTCTTTTGGGGGGGGTTCTCCCCTTTACTGTTGTAGTTTTTTGTTTTTTCCTTCCATTTTGATTTTGTTGGTTGGTTGGTTTTTAATCCAAAGAGGAACCTTTGCTTCAATCTTGATTCCAATTTTCCAAGTCTGTCTGTTTCATAAAACCTTCCCTAAGAGTGGGTTGTAAGTGCTAACACGGTTGACCACCACTGTGTGCTTGGCATTCGGCGGAGCATTTTACCCGTGTCTTTTAAATCTAATCATCCCGATAGGAGGGAGTTCCTACCCTACCCATATTACAGATGAGGAAAGTGAAGCACAGGGAGGCTGAATCGCTGGACCTAGGTTGCAGTGTTTTTGAGTGATAGAGTGTGGGTTTGGACCTGACTTTTTTGGCCCCCTTGTCCCCAGCGCATTGCCCTCCTTTTTGGGGGTGAAACCTACAACATCACGAGTATGTGCCCCTTCCATTCCTGATCGCAAAATATGGACAAAATATGGTGAAGGTTGGACCGTGAGTCCCAGTCACACTCCCAGGCACTGAAATCGCGTGTGGTGTGCGGGGTATGGAAACACGGGTTTAACCAGCAGGTGCGCAGAGGAGAGAGGGCACTGACTGCGGACGCGTCTTTCTCTTGTCACCACCAGAGTGTCTCTATGTGTTCCCCTGCCAGTGGAACTACCGTCCCGATCACTGCATGTACGGAAGCAACTGCAAAGAAGCTGAGCGGGAAGGCGTGTCTGTCCTGCACGGGAACCGAGGTGTCTACCATGACGATAAGCAACCCACTTTCAAAGCACTCTATGAAGCAATACGGGATGTAAGTGTGTCCGCTACTCCCCACCCCCGCCGTGTAGCAGACGCATGCGCACTCCACATGAGGCAGGACAGTTGCTTGGGTCCCCGGCACCTCGGAAGGCCAAAGAATTCCCCAAAAGCATTGAGTTCTGCCCCTTTCCCCAATCTCAGGTACCACCTCACTGTATCAGCTCGCTCCCTCATATTATAGCCATTCCTATAATACAAGTAAGTCACTATTGTGGGGGGGGGGCCTTAAATAAGTTCACTTAAGGAGGAAATTAAAGACCCAGAAAGAAACCCCCTCTGCCATTTGCCATAACAGAGGGGAATGTGTTAGGGTAAAGATCATGTAATAAGAACAGAATGATACCATTCAGCGCAAGCTGAGTGTGTTGCCTGGTTGCCAGCACCCTGTCGAGAAATCCGGTGTGGAGGTGGTCAATTAGGACAAAGGATCAAACTAAAAGTAAAAATCAAGTCTTTATGTACATACTGCAGCGGTGCAAGCAAGAGGCAGAAAGAGGCACGAGCTCCCCTGTGTTGCGTACGTACCCAGCAAGGGGTACTGGTCAAGAGAATGCAGCAGAGAGGCAGAGATCCTCTCAAGGCTCCTGCATCCTTATGGACATGTAGGCCAGGGGAGGGGGAAGGAGAAGGGAAAAAGGGACGAGTGGAAGGATACCCCTCCTTTCCCAGGAGACCTCCAAATGGAGGTGTCTGGGGTAGGAATGTAGGTACGAATTTGAGCGTGGCTGGCCCAGGGTAGGGGCCTGAGTTCTTGACTCAACTCCTTCAAGTAAACTTGCCTGTGCTCCAAATCTCGTGTCAGGAGGGCAGCTCCCCATCCCTCCAGAGGACTGCCAGCAGCCTTATCATTACCTGTGGTTGAGTCTGAAAGCCCAGACATAGGATTTTGACCTGGAGCTGGACTTCTCACAACCTCACCCCCTCTTACCACCTTGGAGAGATTGATTAGCAAGTGTTGAGGTGTTAAAGATGCCTGGGAACTATCTTCTTGCAGTGAATGGGAAGGTTGAAAGAAACTTACTTTGGGGCTTACTACCTAAAATGCCAGATATTGCTGGCCCTTGCCTTTCATCCCACACTTGGGGAAACGCTGCATTCCACATTGCTTTTTACCTTGAGATCACTAGGGGGAAACCGGCAACAGAGATACAGGGATGTCCCTTTTGAAACGGTAATTCCAAGACATAGAGTAGGGGTCAGGGAACTTGGGCCAGATCTGCCTTGCTGCCTGTGTTTGTAAGCTGTGTGGGCTGGGAACGGATCTGTAAATCGTTGGGAAAAAAAGAATATTTCCTGACGTGAGAAAATTATATGCAATTCAGATTTCAGCGTTCATAAATAAAGTCGTATCGGGACGCAGTGACACCCATTCATTTATGTGTTTGTCTGTGGCTGCTTTCAGTGGATGAGATGAGTATTTATAACAAACTGTGTAGCCCACAAAGTCTAAAATATTTACTGTCTAGCCCTTTATAGAAAAAATTTGCTGACCCCAGACATAAAGTATGTAGACTTTGTTATAGATATTTTTCTTAAGAATCCATGAACCCTCACGGTTTCACAAATGGCCTTTGGTGGGAGCGAATCCCGAGACACAGGAACACATTTTTGTGTGTGTGTGAAAAATGTGCATCTTGCTAAGGAGAGTCTCTGGAATTCCAGAATTTTCTCTGCAGGGAACGAGATTAGCCTGCACGTAAGCTAACACCACTTTCTTCTCCTGCATTTCCTGCTGTTGGTTTTCAAAGACCAAGTGATTTAATTACACAGAAAATTTGTTCTGTACTTAATGATATCATCACTTTAGATATTCAAACACTGACTCTGGGGCAGAGCCATTCAGGAGTGCAAACAGAAGTTAAATGAGTTTGCAGCAGTCCATCAGAGCCGTGCTTGGGTTTCTTCTGTGATCTGCCAGCCCTAGTCTGGAATAGAGCAACTGTGGTTCTTGAGTTACCATGCGTCTTGTTTGCTTTCTGGAGGAACAGAAAGAAAGCCAAATAACTGGGTCATAAATGATCCTGCCAAATACACACAGTGATGATCCTCACGTGGGCCTACAAGGACCATTTGCATTCAGGGTTTCAATCAGGAATATCACTAACCCCATCCTCTAACGGGAACAAACATGGGCTCCCTCTTGGAAGACCCGTTTACCCACTCTCCACAGGGCGGCGCACCATGTGGTGGGGTCAGGGCCTGGCTTGGGGATGGACAGACCTCAATGCAAGGCCCAATTTTTGTCCCTTTCTGGTTATTAGTCATTAACTCTGTGCTCTTACCTTACTGGGCCTCAGTTTCCTCATTATCTCCTCCAATGGAGATAATAATAATATCATCTGCCTCGTAAAATTGTTGTGAGGATTCCACAAAATGATGGTTTTTAGATTTTATTTATTTATTTATGAGAGAGCATGAGAGCTGGGGAGGAACAGAGGAGGGCGAGGGAGAGGAAACAATCTTCAGCAGACTCCACACCGAGTGTGGCACCCCATGCAGGGCTTTACCTCATGACCCTGAGATCATGATCTGAAAGGAAAACAAGAGTTGGAAGCTCAGGGGCGCCTGGGGGGCTCAGTCGTTAA